TAATAAAAAGTTAGCAATAGCAGCTCATACATTTCTATTGACAGGTCATCTTTGATTACTTGCCCTCCAGAATATTTACCCCCCTTCCTGACCAGGCCATTCTTACGATACAGCACTGTGTTACTTTAACTGACAATTGCGCACTCATGCAACTCTGTACATACCGTAAATGAAATAGAGCTTTCTTTCGATGGTATTTGATCATCTCTGCGGTCTTTATTTTTTGCACTATAAACAAAAAAAGACCAACAATTTCGGAAAAAAAATTTAAAAATACATTTTTGACTGTTCGCTATAAAACATATCCAGTGAAAAAAAAAAACAAAATTCTTCATAAATGTAGGCCAAAATGTATTCTGCTACGTCTTTGCTAAAAGAAAAATCACATCAAGTGTATAATTGGATTACATGAAAGTTACAGCGCCTAAAAATGGCAGTATATATAGTGGAATTTTTATTTTTTTTACTAGTAATGGCGGTGATCAGCATCTTATAGCGGAACTGCGGCAGGCATTCTGACACTGGGGGGGGACGGGACTTACTAACTGCCACCCCAATGACACTAATACAGTGATCAGTGCTAATAAAAAGCACTGACACTGTGCTAATGACACTGGGGAAAAAGGGGTTAACATATGGGGCGAACAAAGGGTAACTGTGTGCGTTTTACTACGGAGACATGCTTTGCAGAGAAATACAAAGCAGCATGTCCTGAGAGAGATCTGTGTTTACACACAGGGCTCTGCAAACGATCACTGAGCCCTCGCTGAGAATCGCCAGCTGGGACCTGGTGATTGACATGTCCAGTAGCCAATAGCGGCGTGGGTGGCGCCGTGCACGCCCCCATGCCCCGAAATGCAAGTCACGTATATTTACATGACTATGCAGCAGTACTTCTGCTATAGGGTGGCGGGCAAGTGGTTAAAGCTGACCTCCAGGTTTCAATTGAAATAGTTCATTTGGACCAAGGTGATTCAAACTAATTTAGTTAACAATTGCAGTGTCTGGGAACGCTGTATAAACTGAATGCAGCCTCAGCTATATACAGTATACAGTACAGTGTTTTCCCGCAGTGAGACGAGACCTTCCCATCTCAATCCAAAAGTCGGATTGAGCGCTGCTCAGCCAGAGGAAGCTTTAGTATTCTTCCTCTGGTATTAATACAAAGCTTCCTCTGATTGGCTGAGGTGGAGTTCATGACATCAGACATCCTAGAGTACAAAGCTTCCTCTGATTGGCTGAGGTGGAGTTCATGACATCAGACATCCTAGAGTACAAAGCTTCCTCTGATTGGCTGAGGTGGAGTTCATGACATCAGACATCCTAGAGTACAAATCAGCTTCCTCTGATTGGCTGAGGTGGAGTTCATGACATCAGACATCAGACATCCTAGAGTACAAAGTGTCCTCTCTGATTGGCTGAGGTGGAGTTTATGACATCAGACATCCTAGAGTACAAAGCTTACTCTGAATGGCTGAGCAGCGCTCAGCCCAACTCAATTTTGTTCTGGGAATGGGACAGGAAGGTCTTGGCCCACTGACAGAATGTAGTCCTATATACTGTATATAGTGGAGGGGTCTATTCCTTGGAGAATTATATATCCGAAAGCTCAAAATGCCAAGCATGAGAATGGCAGGCAAATATGTTTGGTGAGTGCATACCTAAGAGGGGAGCATGGCACAACTTCAGATTGTTTCACTAATATGCACATGGTGATTATTGGAATATGAAGATAAATTAACCTCACGTGGTGATCACAAAAAATAGACTGAATTATTTGGACTTTTCCTGCGTTTATACATTTTGAAAACTATTTGTTTGAGTTTTAGCGTTGCATTAATATTTTATAGAATATTATTTTGATATTTTCTGCACTTAGTTCAATGTGGCAGCATGTTATGAGATGTGTACCTTTTTTTTGATTCACATTTATATATTCACAGTGCAGTTTGTTTTTGAGGGTTTATACCTTAAAATATTTTTTTTGGATACAAATCTGTTTACACCTGCCTGTAGGTGCATGCACTTACCAACTTTGAATCCACTCCGGTCACATGATCGCACAGCTCCAGCTCCCATGTCCGTGAGTAGCTGCCACAGAGGAGAGGAGTGAGTGCCAACAACAGCCAAGTCATGGGAATCTGTAAGTGAGATCGTGGCTCCCAGAAGTCCATGGTCAAGCGTTCCCTGAGTATTTGGGCAGGCGGGATAAGATGCCTTTACGTCTACTTTGAAGTTGTATTACACCCTTAGCGTGTAGTTTAACACATTTAGCCAAATCAAAAATTCTCTAGTAATCTATGTTAAAGTTCCTACCCCAGCACTTTCAGTTCACAACCTTCAATGGTGCTGGTTTCTGCTCTCCCAGTGCTGCTTCCCTAAATTTCCATCCTTCACAAGGAAAGAGTTAACAGTGCACATTGCAATCTCCAGCCAATCTGTTAACCTTGAGAAGACGTGGAAGGTCTTTCCATCCTAGTCTATGCTATTATTGCACACAGTGTAGAGACACAATTCTAGCCCTGCATGCAAGGGCAGTTCCATAGGATGCCGCAAGAGGAAGGAGCCACTCTGAATCAGAAAACCTGGGGCAGTGATCATGGCAATAGCTCAAACTGGAACATAGGGAAGGATTAAAAGCTGAAGAAACTGCACTAAGGCTACGTTCACACTAGCCTTGTGTGCAGGCGGCAGAGAGGCGTTTGGGAAGCGTTTTTACCGCTTCCCAAACCCCTCTGCCAATTCTGCACATTACAGCACATTGTGCTGTTCTAACGGGAGCGTTTGCGTCGCGGCCAAACGGACGCCTCTGGACGAGTCAGGAGGCTTTGAAGCCTCCTATTCTCGTCTATGGTGCCGCTCCGCAAACGCCCGGCCGGCGTTTGCGGTGCGGTTGCGGGGCGTTTGCGGAGCGGTAACACCACTCAAACTGCATTATAGGCGTTTGTGGGGCGTTATTAATGCTCGGAAAACGCCTAGCAACCGCCTCTAAACCGCGCATGCGGCGTTTGCGGAGCGTTTGCCGAGCGTTAAAAACGCTCCACAAACACCGGACCAACGTTTGCCAAACGCTATAGGGGCGTTTGGCAAGCGTTGGCAAAACAGCCTAGTGTGAACGAGCCCTAAGTAAGTGATTAAATGCAGACTGCTTCTACAAACATTTGTGAAAGAATGGGTCGCTCTCAGGAGCTCAGTGACTCCAAGCGTGGTCCCGTGATAGGTTGTCACCTGTGTAATCTGTGACATTTCCTGGCTACTAAATATTCCACAATCAACTGTTAGTGGGATTATAACAAAGTGGAAGCAACTGGGAACAACAGCAACTCAGCCACAAGTGGTAGGCCACGGAAAAATGACAGAGCGGGGTCAGCACATGCTGAAGCGCACAGTGCGCAGAGGTCACCAACTGTCTGCAGAGTCAATAGATAAAGATCTCCAAACTTGGTGTGTCCTTTAGATTAGAACAGCAGTGCGTAGAGAACTTCATGGAATGGGTTTCCATGGCCGAGCAGCTGCATCCAAGCCTTACATCACCAAGGGCAATGCAAAGCGTCGGATGCAGTGGTGTAAAGCACGCCGCCACTGGACTCTAGAGCAGTGGAGACGTGTTCTCTGGAGTGACCAATCACGCTTCTCTGCCTGAAAATCTGATGACCGTGTCTGGGTTCGGCGATTGCCAAGAGCACGGTACTTGCCTGACTGCATTGTGCCAAGTGTAAAGTTTGGTGGAGGGGGGATGATGTTGTGGGGTTGTTTTTCAGGGGTTGGGCTTGGCCCCCTAGTTTCAGTGAAGGGAATTCTTAAGGCGTCAGCATACCAAGACATTTTGGACAATTTCATGCTCCTAAGTTTGTGGGAACAGTTTGGGGATGGCCCCTTCCTGTTCCAACATGACTGCACACCAGTGCACAAAGCAAGGTCCATAAAGACATGGAGGAGCCAGTTTGGGGTGGAGGAACTTGACTGGCCTGCACAGAGTCCTGACCTCAACCCCATAGAACACCTTTGGGATGAATTAGAACGGAGACTGTGAGCCAGGCCTCCTCCCCCGACATCAGTGCCTGACCTCACAAATGTGCTTCTGGAAGAATGGTCCAACCTTCCCATAGACACCCTCCTAAACCTTGTGGACAGCCTTCCCAGAAGAGTTGAAGCTGTTATAGCTGCAAAGGGCGGGCTAACTCAATATTGAACCCTATGGACTAAGACTAGGGGGCCATTAAAGCTCGTGTGTGTGTAAAGACAGGCCGACCAATACTCTTGGCAATATAGTGCATGTGAACCCAGGCTTAAACTCACAAGTGTGGGTCCACTATGGGACCACAGCATAGCCACTTCCCTTCAGTGTGCACACTCTCCACATGGGCACTAAAGTACAAGCCTAAGACCCACCTTTTTTTTTTTTTTTTTCAAGCACTTACTGCAAAGACCACTAACAGAAATCAGCACAAAATAGGTACACACACTTATCAGCCCTCTTAGGAAAGGGACCTCTGTAAACAGAAACCAAAAACACACACAAGCAGCACAGACTTTGAATTACTTTAAGATAGGTTTGTCCTGTGGTCAAATACACAAAACTTTAAAACTTGCAGTTTCTTAGATGTGTACCTTTGCAAATCTTGCAATGCCATATAAATGTGATGCCAGTACTGCAATAACTATAAGCTATTCAACATAAGAAAAATAATTTAATATAATATACAGAGCTGTTTCTGTATAACCACTATATTAGGTAATAAAATAAATGATATGGTTTAGTTCCTGATATACAGTATATCTCACCTTTAGCCCATCATTTGTACAAGAGCTTGGCATTTAACTATAACTTTTCATAAAACTATTAAAATGGTCACCGGGATAACCCCTGTATTTGTATTGTCCAAAACCAGAGAACGATTCAATTGTTGTATAGGCAGTGCAGGTCAGAAACCACATTATTTGCATAAATTAGAACATAATTTGGTTATTTTTGTGTATCCAGTTCCACTGAAATCATGTCAATGGGCATCCTCAGTCAGTGCTGGCAGCAGGTCAGCCACAGAGTCTACATAGAAGTCAGGGACCAGAGAGAGGGAGCCGCTGTCTTGGTAGGCCTTTGCATCTTCCAGACTAGAAAAGCCTGTGAGGGTCAGGAGTGTGCGGATGCCACACGTAGAACCCATCTGAATGTCTGTGTCCAGGCGATCGCCCACCATGACAGTCCTTGAGGGATCCAGACCACATTCTTTGACCACGCAGTCATACAGGAATGAGTTGGGTTTTCGATAACCTGGGCTTTGCGATGAGCAGCAGTTTCCACCGCTCGTACCAAGCAACCAGTTCCTGCAATGACAACACAAGAAATGTATTTATTTATTTTTTAATTAAAATTTCCAAGGTCCACAACCTGCCTAATCACACAGAAAACCTTTTATGCAGCAAAAAGCATTTGGAGAATAACTTTACAATCCAAAGTGGTCTTTTTCCCAACCTGACCATTTCTTTTTAACCACTTGCCTACCGGGCACTTATACCCCTTCCTGCCCAGGCCAATTCCCAGCTTTCAGAGCTGTCACACTTTTGCATCACCACGCAATTGTCATTCACACTGTACACATATGAAATTTTTATCATTTTTTGAGACAGATAGAGGTTTCTTTTGATGGTATTTAATCACCTCTGGGTTTTTAATTTTTTGCTAAACAAACCAAAAACTGAAAATTTTGAAAACAAAATTGTTTTTTCTTAGTTTTTGTTATAAAATTTTGTGAATAAGTGATTTTTCCTCCTCCACTGATGTGCACTAATGAGGCTGCAGTGATGGGCACTGGTAGGTGGCACTGATGGCAATTGACAGGCATCACTGATGGGCACTGATAGGTGGTACTGATGGTCACTGGCATTGATGGACACTGACAGGTGACACTGCTGGGCCTACACTGATCATCAGGGCACACTGAGGAATGCCGATTACTGGCTCTCCTCTCCTCTGTCAGCGTGACAGCTCGTGAGGAGAGAAATGCCGATAATCGGCATTTACCTATTTACACGCGATCAGCTGTGATTGGACACAGCTGATCACATGACCAAGCCGACGTCTTCGGCTCTGTTGATCGGTGCTCCGCTGAACCGAGGGACACAGAGCAGCACCGATCACTGCATGCCCCCGAAGCCACGCATGCGTGGTTAGAGTGGGAGGACATCATAAGACATCCTCCCAGAACGAGAGAACCGCCTTGCGCCCATCATTTCCTTATATGGCGGGCAGGAGGCGGTTAAAGAGAAAGTACAGTATTTTCAGATTCCACTTACAAAATGAATTGGCATAGTAATTGTGTAACATCATCTTGACAACATGATTGGTCCATAAACCCAGCCTTACATACTGGAGGCACACATTGCATACTTGGCAAGTTGCATATTGTTTGAACGGATATAAGAGGAGACATTTGTTAACAGGGTGTTGGCTAATGCCTAGCTGCCAAGCAAATAGAACATGTGTTCATAAATGGCACCTAAACCTCTGAGGGAAGCCTGTGAGCACAGAGGTACAACCACTTCCACTGTCATAATGATTTAGCAGATTTGACCTTTCCTGATTAGGACTTGGCAGTTACCAGACACCAGCTTCCTCGCAATACGATCACCTTGTATAGTCATGTTCTGGGTCCTCCAAGCACCCAAAGCATATTAGATCATGTACAAGGTCATTCTGTTAGACAATGGTGACATTTAAAGTGATAGTCCACTCTTTGGAAAGGGGGGGGGGGGGGGGGGGAGGGGAATAATGCCACCACATTAAAGGATAAGTTCACCTTTTGCCCAAAAATGATAAAAGCACATTTTTTTGCAGGTAAAAAAAAAAGTGCATTTATTATTTTTGCCTGCAAACCATTGCACCTTTAAGAAAACAGAACTGCATTTTGTATTCTTTTTGCATTGTAACCTGCAGAGCATTGCAACTGCAGTCAGCAGATCATGTGTGCAACGCACAGCCTCCTATGAAAGTACAGACCCATGGAGCTGGAGGAAGTAATCAATGGAATAATCCATTTAGATCAATGCACAAGGGGGAGGGAATCATGCGCATACATCTTACCTCCCTCTGCTGTATATGACCAGGGTTACATATACCAGAGTAGCAGAGGGGCTCATGGCGACACCTCTGAACCACTCTCCCTGAACTATGTTTTTATATATCCAACAGGGATGATGAAAGCAACTCTGACCTCCCCCTAATCAATGAGCAGAGTTCTAATACCAGAAATGCAGGTCATGGCAGCATCTCTGACCTCCATCTGCCTATGATCAGTGTTCTTATATACTTGGGGGGGGGGGGGGGGGGGGGGGGGCAGGGGGAAAACAAAGTTCCACAGTTGGCACCTTTTGGGGCGAGCAGGCACCCACTCCCACTTCCAGCTCAGTTTGCTGCGGCAAACCGAGCTGGAGGTTTGGGCCCTCCCGCAGCCCATTCAGAAAGTGCAGTAGGTAACCAGCGGTGAAGCCACAAGGCTTCACTGCCAGATTCCCATAGTTAAGATGGCGGTGCCAGCACCCAACAACCAACTGAAGAATCAGCTAGGGGTGAAGACCGGAATCCTGGACAGGTAAGTGCCCCAGTATTAAAAGTCAGCAGCTACAGTATTTGTAGCTGCTGACTTCATTTTTTTGTCTGGGACGTGGTGGGGGCCAGAACTCCGCTTTAAGGCAGCATGACCCTATCTATGCTCAGTGTTCTATAAACCAGAGGGGGGTCTCAATGGCACTCCTGACCTGCCCAGTGTTCTATACATCAGAGAGGGGCCATGAAGACACCCTTTCCTGCCCATCTATGGCAACTGTTATATGTACCAGAGGAAGGGAAATTTTGGCAACACCTCTGACCCTGCCAGTGTTCTTCACACCAGAGGCAAGTCAATAGCAACACCTTCGACCTCATCCTATGGCAAGAGATTAATTATATATCTCGCTCTCAATCAGAAGAGGTCAAGTCGAAACCTCTGGCCCATCCAGTGTTATTAAGCAGTGGGGGTCACGGTGGCAACTCTGACCTGACCAGTGTTTCATACACAGAAGGGGAGCCATGGTGGCACCTCTGCCCGGCCATATTATATATCTATCTCAGAGGAGGGGATCACAGAGACACCTCCAACCTTGCCAGTGTCCCTTTCAATGAAGGCCTGCTCCCCCATATGTACCTCTCCTGGAAAGAAGGCTCGGTACAAGGGATGGCTTGCCCACCTCACCCAATGTACCCCCCCCCCCAATAGGAATAACTTGCCCCCCCCCCCTCCCCTCAATGGCCTAAACCCCCCGGCCCCCTTATGTACCTCTCCTGGAAACAAGGCTCCCCCACATGTACCTCTCCTGGAAACAAGGCACATGTACCTCTCCCCCCCACATGTACCTCTCCTGGAAACAAGGCTCGGTACAAGGGATGGCTTGCCCACCTCACCCAATGTACCCCCCCCAATTGGGATAACCTGCCCCCCCCTCCCCTTGATGGCCTGGGCCCCCTTATGTACCTCTCCTGGAAAGAAGGCTCCCCCATATGTACCTCTCCTGGAAAGAAGAAGGCCTCCCCCCCATATGTACCTCTCCTGGAAAGAAGGCTCGGTACAAGGGATGGCTTGCCCACATCACCCAATGTACCCCCCCCCCCCGATAGGGATAACCTGCTCCCACCCCTCCCCTCGATGGCCTGGACCCCCCCCCCGGCCCCCTTATGTACCTCTCCTGGAAAGAAGGCTTGGTACAAGGGATGGCTTGCCCACCTCACCCCATGTACCCCCCAATAGGGATAACCTGGCCCCCCCCTCCCCTCGATGGCCCAGACCCCCTGGCCCCCTCGTAGCGGGCACAGCCCAGAACCCCCTGGCCCCTTTCATGGCGGGCACGGCTGGAACCCCTTTGTGGCGGGCACGGCCCGGAACCCCCTGGCCCCCAGTCGTGGCGGGCACGGCCCGGAACCCCCTGGCCCCCAGTCGTGGCGGGCACGGCCCGGAACCCCCTGGCCCCCAGTCGTGGCGGGCACGGCCCGGAACCCCCCTGGCCCCCAGTCGTGGCGGGCACGGCCCGGAACCCCCTGGCCCCCAGTCGTGGCGGGCACGGCCCGGAACCCCCTGGCCCCCAGTCGTGGCGGGCACAGCCCAGACCCCCTTCGTACCAGGGATGGCCCGGCCCCCCTCCAGGGGCAGCCTGGTGTCAGTGTTGGTGGCGATGAAGAGGCAGGCGGGGTCCTGTAGGTAGTGCAGAGCTCGGGTCAGTTTCATGTAGTTGAAGTTCTCATCGAAGCCGACCACCACCGCCCTGACCTCGGGGTCCCGGCTGAGGTCCGCCCAGTCCTTCATCCCCCCGGTGACCGGGTCCGCTCCTTGCCCCAGGTGAGGGATGCCGGCCGCCGCCAGCTCCTGGCTCAGAGCGCCCCCTCCAATCAGGAAGACCTTCCCCCGGAGCCGGGCCGTGTCCCGCAGGTAGAGCGCCGTGCAGTAGGCCGTCCCGAACACCTCCCCGGGCTCGGCGGAGAAGCCCAGGCGGCCCAGCTTGTCGGAGTACATGGCCCGGGTCTTCGTGCTGTTGTTGGTGAGGTAGAACACCCGCTTGCCGCTCCGCTTCAGCTCGTTCACCAGCTCCGGGGCCCCCTGGACTGCCTCATCTCCCCGCCACAAGACGCCGTCACAGTCGAAGAGCACCGTGTCCACCGAGACCAGGAAGCGGCGGGAGAGCTCTCCGTTCAGGCGCACGCACTTGGAGGCGGCCATATTCATTCTGAGGGCAGCCTGTCCTCATGTCTGCCCGTTCCAGCACACCATTGGCTTACGGTGGAATCACAGTGGCCGCTGATTGGTGGAGGCGGGAGACTGTAGGCCCAGCTGTTCTCTCTAGAGGGGTCGGGCTACGGTGATAGGATTGGGTTGTCCTTAGCAACCGGCTGTGAGGGCAGAGCTATGGGCGCAGCCATTGCTGATACTGGCACCACTCACAAGTCCGCCACATGAAACAAGCATGCAGCGAGTGAAGTCAGATTACAGCCCTTAAAATGGACTTTGCTACAAAAATGAAATGTCCACTTTGGGTTCACAGCTCCCTCATCCCCAAAATGCATCAAACAGAAATAAAAACTGTGCATGAAAAATATTGTTTATATATTGACTTTACCTTCACCTCTACCCATGAAGCCTAAGTGAGAGTGGTGATACAATTCTAGGTAAGGTGCCAAGGAGAAGTCACCGTCCTAGGTGCCAAGGTGAGGTCACCGTCCTAGGTGAGGTCACCGTCCTACGTGCCAAGGAGAGGTCACCGTCCTAGGTGCCAAGGAGAGGTCACCGTCCTAGGTGCCAAGGAGAGGTCACCGTCCTAGGTGTCTAGGGAGGTCACCGTCCTAGGTGCCAAGGTGAGGTCACCCTCCTAGGTGCCAAGGTGAGGTCACCCTCCTAGGTGCCAAGGTGAGGTCACCCTCCTAGGTGAGGTCACCGTCCTAGGTGCCAAGGTGAGGTCACCGTCCTAGGTGCCAAGGAGAGGTCACCGTCCTAGGTGCCAAGGAAGAGGTCACCGTCCTAGGTGTCTAGGGAGGTCACCGTCCTAGGTGCCAAGGTGAGGTCACCCTCCTAGGTGCCAAGGTGAGGTCACCCTCCTAGGTGCCAAGGTGAGGTCACCCTCCTAGGTGAGGTCACCGTCCTAGGTGCCAAGGTGAGGTCACCGTCCTAGGTGCCAAGGAGAGGTCACCGTCCTAGGTGCCAAGGTGAGGTCACCGTCCTAGGTGTCTAGGTGAGGTCACCGTCCTAGGTGTCTAGGTGAGGTCACCGTCCTAGGTGCCAAGAAGAGGTCACCATCCTAGGTGTCTAGGTGAGGTCACCATCCTAGGTGCCAAGGTGAGGTCACCGTCCTAGGTGCCAAGGTGAGGTCACCGTCCTAGGTGAGGTCACCGTCCTAGGTGCCAAGGTGAGGTCACCGTCCTAGGTGTCTAGGTGAGGTCACTGTCCTAGGTGCCAAGCAGAGGTCACCGTCCTAGGTGTCTAGGTGAGGTCACCGTCCTAGGTGCCAAGGAGAGGTCACTGTCCTAGGTGCCAAGGAGAGGTTACCCTCCTAGGTGCCAAGGTGAGGTCACCGTCCTAGGTGCCAAGGAGAGGTCACCCTCCTAGGTGCCAAGGAGAGATCACCCTCCTAGGTGCCAAGGAGAGGTCAGCTTCCTAGGTGTCTAGGTGAGGTGACTGTCCTAGGGGAGGTCACCTTCCTAGGTGTATAGGGAGGTCACCGTCCTAGGTGCCAAGGTGAGGTCACCATCCTAGGTGCCAAGGTGAGGTCACCCTCCTAGGTGCCAAGGTGAGGTCACCGTCCTAGGTGCCAAGGTGAGGTCACCGTCCTAGGTGTCTAGGTGAGGTCACCGTCCTAGGTGCCAAGGAGAGGTCACCGTCCTAGGTGTCTAGGTGAGGTCACCGTCCTAGGTGCCAAGAAGAGGTCACCATCCTAGGTGTCTAGGTGAGGTCACCATCCTAGGTGCCAAGGTGAGGTCACTGTCCTAGGTGCCAAGGTGAGGTCATTGTCCTAGAGTGAGGTCACCGTCCTAGGTGCCAAGGTGAGGTCACCGTCCTAGGTGTCTAGGTGAGGTCACTGTCCTAGGTGCCAAGCAGAGGTCACCGTCCTAGGTGTCTAGGTGAGGTCACCGTCCTAGGTGCCAAGGAGAGGTCACTGTCCTAGGTGCCAAGGAGAGGTTACCCTCCTAGGTTCCAAGGTGAGGTGACCGTCCTAGGTGCCAAGGAGAGGTCACCCTCCTAGGTGCCAAGGAGAGATCACCCTCCTAGGTGCCAAGGAGAGGTCACCTTCCTAGGTGTATAGGGAGGTCACCGTCCTAGGTGCCAAGGTGAGGTCACCATCCTAGGTGCCAAGGTGAGGTCACCGTCCTAGGTGCCAAGGTGAGGTCACCGTCCTAGTGCCAAGGTGAGATTTTTGCTGACAAGATCTCGGGCATTGCTGAGTACCCAAAATCTGACAAGAAGGTTTCACTTCCAAATCAAGCATCTTATCATGAGATTTTGTGTACTCAGCAATGGGATCTTGCCAGAAAATATGGTGACATCACCCTCAACTAGGCACCAAGGTTGGTAACATCACCCACATTTAGGAACATCACCCTCACCTATACACCAAGGATGGTGACATCACCTTCACCTAGGAACCAAGGGTGGTGACATCGCCCTCACCTAGGCAACTAGGATGGTGACATCACCCTCACCTAGGCATCAGGGATGGGGACATCACCCTCACCTAGGCACATGGGTTGGGGACATCGCCCTCACCTAGGCACATGGGTTGGGGACATCGCCCTCACCTAGGCATCTAAGATGGTGACATCATCCCCACCTAGGCACCTAGGATGGTGACATAGCCCTCCCCTAGGCACCAGGGGTGGTGACATCGCCCTCACCTAGGCATCAGGGGTGGTGACATCGCCCTCACCTAGGCACCAGGGACGGTGACATCGCCCTCACCTAGGCACCAGGGGTGGTGACATCGCCCTCACCTAGGATGGTGACATCGCCTTCACCTAGGCAGCAGGGTAGGCTTCCCTAAATAAATGAGTTTTCAAGGATCACCTAAAGGAGGCAAGCACGGGAGGAGCTAACAAGGGAACTGGAGAGCAGGAGGTCTTGAGAGGAGTGGATTTTTCATTTGGGTACAGGTTGCATAACTGCACAATTACGTTAAAGCGGAGTTCCACCCAAAAGTGGGAACTCAGCTTTTATGCCTCCTCCCCTCCACTGCCACATTTGGCACTTTTTTTTTTTTCGGGAGGGTACTTAGTTTTGAGATGTACCAACTTCCAGGCTCACTTCACAGTCCCAGAGGACTGGGGCCATTCACAAAGCGCAGCACGCTTCGCGCATGCGCAGTAGGAACCCAGCTGTGAAGCCGCAAGGCTTTACTACTAGTTTGCCTTAGTCAAGATGGTGGCGCCAGCACCTGACAGACGATTGAAGAAAAGGCTTGGGGTGAGGCCACTGCTGGATCCCTGGACAGGTAATCGCCCTAATATTAAAGTCAGCGGCTGCAGTATTTGTAGCCGCTGACTTTTAATTTAAACATTTTTTTTTTTTGGTTGGGGGGGGGGCTGGGGGCCGGAACTCTGCTTTAGGGTATCACAGTGCTGAACAGCAAAAAACTGGCCTGGTCATGAGGGTGGGTAAAATATTCCAGGGCTGCCTATGGCATTATTCACAAAGTTATATTTTATGCACATTCCCATTATATGGTCCAGCACAGCAGCTCCGTGTTCCTTGATATGATATTGAACTCTATGGGTTTTAATTGATGAAAGCAGCAGTATCCTCCAAACTCTCAACCATCCTCCGCCCATATCAGACATGGCCGCCGCGCCTTCTATAGCCTTCGGCGTCCTCAACGTGCCCCGCCTACCCCCTTCCAGGGGCAGCCGTCCTCCTCCGTTGTTATGACGACACGGTCGTAAAGCCGCCATTTTGCGCCGTGCTCCAGCCGCTGTGCGCTCGTTTCGTTGCGACAGAGGAGGAGAAGTCAGCCCTGGCTGGGATGAGCTCGGAGCCGGGGGTGGGGGAGTCGGAGGAAGCAGCTCCTAGCAGTCCGCTCATCCTGACCGAGCCCGCGGCGGCCCTCATCAGCCACTACAGGGAGGAAGGTGAGCGCGCCCCCCCGACACCCGGGCACGGGTGGTGGGTTATTGAAGCTGCACGTGTGGGCGGGGCTTGTGTTTGTTTATTTTGACAGCTTCACTTTTTTGTTTGTTTTTTTTTTGCCAGTTTTATGAAAATCAATTTATGTTCATGTGAAATAAAAGTGTTTCTGCTTTTCTTTATGAATTCCCGCAGTAGATGTCAGATGGCAGGACGTGCATGTTCAGTGGCCAGGCGTTGGCATTTTAAATGGTCTCCATGGAAACGTGCCTGATCTGCTGGGCTGAGCGCGCGTTTTTATGTGCAGGGAGCGCGCGTTTTTATGTGTCGGGAGCGCGCGCGTTTTTATGTGCAGGGAGCGCGCGCGTTTTTATGTGCCGGGAGCATGTGCGTTTGTGGGAGCGCGCGTTTTTATGTGCAGGGAGCGCGCGCATTTTTATGTGCAGGGAGTGCAATTGGAAACGCCACCTTAACTTTCCGGAGAGTTTGTGGAACGGCTGTGTCCCCGCCTGTTGAATTTCCCAAATGTGAGTTGTCACCAAAAAATGGGGACACTAGTTCTGGTGACACCCAGGGATTCCTTCACTTTGGAGGGATTTCCTCTCACTTCCTGTTTTGCTATGGGACAGTAAGTGAAGGTAAATCTCCCCCATGGTACACAGATGGGAAAAAAAAAAACAACAAAAACTAACAGGGGTTATAACCCTCCCTTAATTTATTCAAGATGGGAAAAAAATATTTTGCATTCCATTCTACTTTAAAGTATAACTAAAGGCAAAACGTTTTTCTTTAGTTTTGGACAGAATGCATTCACCGCTCTTTTGGACCTGTTTGCTGCTATCACGGCAAGTGAAAGTAAACCCCAAATTTTGGGTTGTCACCAGAACAGGAAATAGAGGGGAAGTTTTCCAGTGGGGACACTAGTTCTGGTGACAACCACAGATTCTTTCATTTTGCAGGGATTTCCTCTCACTTCCTGTTTTGGCTATGGGACAGGAAGTGAAAAATCTCCCCTATGGTACACAGATGGTAAAAAAAAAACAACTGACAGGGCTTATAACCCTCCCTTACTCTATTCAAGATTGGGGGAAAATATTTTGTATTCCATTCTACTTTAAAGTATAACTAAAGGTGAAACTTTTTTTCTTTAGTTTTGGACAGAATGGAGAGGGATTAGGACCCCTGTCAGGTTTTTATTGCTGTCTGTGTCCCTGTCGGAGAGATTCACCCGCTCTATTGGACCCGTTTGCTGTTATCACTACAAGTGAAACCCAAAATTTTGGGTTGTCACCAGAAAAGAAATAGAGGGGAAATCTTCCAGTGGGGATACTAGTTCTGGTGACTCTCTCATTTTGCAGGGATTTCCTCTCACTTCCTGTTTTGGCTATGGGACAGGAAGTGAAAAGAAGTCCCCTCCAATGGGACAAAAAAGGCAAAAAACTGACAGGTGTAGGGAGCGCGCGATCGGAAACGCCACGTTAATTTTCCGGAGAGTTTGAGGAACGGCTGTGTCCCCACCTGCTGACCGTTATCGCCAAACATAAAAGAATTTCCCAAGTTTTGAGTTGTCCCCAGAACAGGAAATAGAGGGTAAATCTCCCAATGGGGACACTAGTAATCCCAATGGGGATTCCTTCACCTTTGAGGGATTTCCTCTCACTTCTTGTTTTGGCTATGGGACAGGAAGTGAAAGGAAATCTCCCCCTATGGGACACAAAGGGCACAAAAACTGACAGGGCTTATAACCCTCCCTTACTCTATTCAAGATTGGAGGAAAATATTTTGCATTCCGTTCTACTTTAAAGTATAATTGAAAGCAAAACTTTTTTCTTTAGTTTTGGACAGAATGGAGAGGGATTAGGATCCCCTGTCAGGTTTTTATTGCTGTCTGTATCCCTGTCAGAGAGATTCACCCGCTCTGTTGGACCCGTTTGCTGCTATCACTGCAAGTGAAAATAAACACAACATTTTGGGTTGTCATCAGAACAGGAAATAGAGGGGAAATCTTCCAATGGGGACAATAGTTCAAAATAATTCCTTCATTTTGCAGCGATTTCATCTCACTTCCTGTTTTGGCTATGGGACAGGAAGTGAAAGGAAGTCTCCCCCAAGGGCAAAAAACTGACATATGCGTTTTTGCTGCATTTCTACTACTTTTTATTTTTTTTACAGACCGTGTGATTGAAAAACGCACCACTGGGGAGCGTTTCTGCCACGTTTTTCATTGATTTCAATGGGGAGGTGCTTTTTTTTCACCACGTCAAACCTGCAGCAAGCAGTATTTTAAAAAACGCACCCACCCGACCCACAATGGATCAGTGTGAAGAGTTCCATAGGAATACAAGGTCACGTGTTTTTCTTTCGTTTTTTTTTTTTTTACGCAAAAGCGGAAGAAAAACAGATCGGTGTGAAAACAGCCTTACTCCATCCAAAATGGAAAATAAATTGCCTTTCTATTCTACTTTAAAGTGGACCCAAAGGGAAGATGCTCACGGTCCCAATGCATCCTTGGTGGCATCATCTCTTGTGTGCTGGGTTTCGGCCATCTTCATTGGCCCGGCTTTGGATGACATCACTCTTGCACAGGAGCTAGTCATCTTGGCACATAGGATTGGCCCGGTCTTGGATGACATCACTCCTGCACAGGAGCTAGTCATCTCGGCACATAGGATTGGCCCGGTCTTGGATGACATCACTCCTGCACAGGAGCTAGGCATCTCGGCACACAGGATTGGCCCGGTCTTGGATTACATCACTCCCGCACAGGAGCTAGTCATCACACAGGATCGGTCACACTTTGGATGATGTCATTTCAGCACACAGGATTGGCCCTTTTGGATGACATCACTCCTGCACAGGAGCTAGTCATCTCGGCACACAGGATTGCCCTGCTTTGGATGACTCACTCCTGCACAGGAGCTAGTCATCTCGGCACACAGGATTGGCCCTGCTTTGGATGACATCACTCCTGCACAGGAGCTAGTCATCTCGTCACACAGGATTGGCCCGGTCTTGGATGACATCACTCCTGCAAGGAGCTAGTCATCTCGTCACACAGGATCGGTCCGGCTTTGGATGACATCACTCCCACACAGGAGCTAGTCATCTCGTCACACAGGATCGGTCCGGCTTTGGATGACATCACTCCTGCACAGGAGCTAGTCATCTCAGCACACAGGATTGGCCCTGCTTTGGATGACATCACTCCTGCACAGGAGCTAGTCATCTCGGCACACAGGATTGGCCCGGCTTTGGATGACATCACTCCTGCACAGGAGCTAGTCATCTCGTCACACAGGATTGGCCCGGCTTTGGATGACATCACTCCTGCAAGGAGCTAGTCATCTCGTCACACAGGATCGGTCCGGCTTTGGATGACATCACTCCCACACAGGAGCTAGTCATCTCGTCACACAGGATCGGTCCCGGCTTTGGATGACATCACTCCTGCACAGGAGCTAGTCATCTCAGCACACAGGATTGGCCCTAGCTTTGGATGACATCGCTCCCGCACAGGAGCTAGTCATCTCGTCACACAGGATTGGCCCTGCTTTGGATGACATCACTCCCGCACAGGAGCTAGTCATCTCGCACACAGGATTGGCCCTGCTTTGGATGACATCACTCCTGCACAGGAGCTAGTCATCTCATCACACAGGATCGGTCTGATCTTGGATGACATCACTCCTGCAAGGAGCTAGTCATTTCAGCACACAGGATTGGCCCTACTTTGTATGACCTCACGCCTGCACAGGAGCTAGTCATCTCGGCACACAGGATTGGCCTAGCTTTGGATGACATCACTCCCGCACAGGAGCTAGTCATCTCGTCACACAGGATTGGTCCAGCCTTGGGTGACATCACTCCTGCACAGGAGCTAGTCATCTCATCACACAGGATTAGCCCGGCTTTGGATGACATCACTTCTGCAAGGAGCTAGTCATTTCAGCACACAGGATTGGCCCTGCTTTGGATGACATCACTCCTGCACAGGAGCTAGTCATCTCGTCACACAGGATTGGCCTAGCTTTGGATGACATCACTCCCGCACAGGAGCTAGTCATCTCGGCACACAGGATTGGCCTAGCTTTGGATGACATCACTCCCGCACAGGAGCTAGTCATCTCGTCACACAGGATTGGTCCGGCCTTGGATGACATCACTCCTGCACAGGAGCTAGTCATCATCACTTAGCCCGGCTTTGGATGATATCACTCCTGCACAGGAGCTAGTCATCTCGGCACACAGGATTGGCCTAGCTTTGGATGACATCACTCCTGCACAGGAGCTAGTCATCTCGTCACACAGGATTGGTCCGGCCTTGGGTGACATCACTCCTGCACAGGAGCTAGTCATCTCATCACACAGGATTGGTCCGGCCTTGGGTGACATCACTCCAGCACAGGAGCTAGTCATTTCAGCACACAGGATTGGCCCTACTTTGTATGACCTCACTCCTGCACAGGAGCTAGTCACCTCAGCACACAGGATTGGTCTGACTTTGGATGACATCACTTCTGCACAGGAGCTAGTCATCTTGTCACACAGGACTGGTCCGGCCTTGGATGACATCACTCCTGCACAGGAGCTAGTCATCTCATCACACAGGATTGGCCCGGCCTTGGATGACATCACTCCTGCAAGGAGCTAGTCATTTCAGCACACCACACACGATTGGCCCTACTTTGTTTGACCTCACTCCTTCACAGGAGCTAGTCACCTCGGCACACAGGATTGGTCCGACTTTGCATGACATCACTTCTGCACAGGAGCTAGTCATCTCTGCACAAAGCACCCCCCCCCCCCAGCGCCCCCAATACTCACCTAAGCCCCCTCTCAGTCCAGTGATGTGCACTGGAGTGTTGACTATCCCGAGACTCCCTCTCTTCATTGGCAGAGACAGCAGAGGGTGCCATTGGCTCCTGCTGCTGTCATTCACAGCCAGTGAGCCCCAATGAGAAGGTGGGGGGTGCCAAGCCGCGGCTCCATGTGTGAATGTACACAC